GTAATACAGCCATGCATAGGGATTGGTAAGCAAATGTACTGTGCCTATAGTAGTACAGCCATGCATAGGGATTGGTAAGCAAATGTACTGTGCCTATAGTAGTACAGCCATGCATAGGGATTGGTAAGCAAATGTACTGTGCCTATAGTGTACAGCCATGCATAGGCATTGATAAGCAAATGTACTGTTCCTATAGTAGTACAGCCATGCATAGGCATTGGTAAGCAAATATACTGTGCCTATAGTAGTACAGCTATGCATAGGCATTGGTAAGCAAATGTACTGTGCCTATAGTAGTACAGCCATGCATAGGCATTGGTTTTGTCCTGTACACTGAAGATTCCATTTGTGTATTTCATAAACGATACCCGGGGGCGGAGGTAGTTCCGAACTGTGTTTTAAAAGTCGAACTAGAAGGAGCAGCAATCGAGTACAATCCGCGGGAACCTGAACCCTCCACTCACCCGCACACACATACGAACATTCTATGAATAGATATACATTTCCTCAGGGAGATTGGCCGCGCATACCTGAACTGCCTGTCGTCGTACTGAAAGCCTAAACCCCAGAGGGTGACTGGCAGCAGTGGTGTGGTGAAGACTAAGTCAATGGGCTCGTTGTATATGTTGTGGAGTAGGAACGAACTTCGGCCGTACTCCCCCAGTACAGAGGCTTCTACAGATGGCAACAAGAACCAGAACAAGAACAAGTATAAGAATAAGAATAAGAATAAAAATAAGAATAGGAATAGGAATAAGAACCAGAATAAGAATAAGAACCAGAATAAGAACAAGAACAAGAACAAGAACAAGAATAAGAATAAGAATAAGAATAGGAATAGGAATAAGAATAAGAACCAGAACAAGAGTAAGAATAAGAATAAGAATAAGAATAAGAATAAGAATAAAAATAAGAATAAGAACAAGAACAAGAACAAGAACAACAATAAGAACAAGAACAACAATAAGAACAAGAACAACAATAAGAATAGGAATAGGAACAAGAACAAGAATAAGAATAAGAATAAGACAGTCTATTTACAGATGGGCAGGTAGATGTCATACTAATAAACTACAGTCATTCTACATACAGATGGGCAGGTAGGCTAATTATGATACACCCACACTTCCCATTGTAGAATACGTGGTTCGCCAAACGCGTTTAATGAGCGACAGATACAATCGGATCGGAAAGCCACTAAAATATTCTGCTTTTTACCTACCTAATAATTGTGCTTGTTACCTACCTAATTATTGTGCTTGTTACCTACGTGGATATTCTGTTTTAACCTATTTAAGTATTCAGCTTTTTACCTACCTAATTATTGTGCTTTTGACCAACGTGAATATTCTGTTTTAACCTATTTAAATATTTTGCTTTCTACCTACGTGATGTTCTGCTTTCAACCTGCCAAAATAATATGTTTTCTACCTACCGAAATATTTTTTTTTATCTACCCGAATATTCTGGTTTTTACCTACTATAATATTCTGCTTTTTACCTACCTGTGATGACTGAGTTGGGCACCTCTGGCAGCGGTGTCGATGAAACATGTGCGTACGCCGAAATGCCACTGCTTCTCTTCGGCACGATGGGGTTGTGGCGCATCGATTCCGAATATTTGACACACGAATCCCGATTTATTTGGGTCAAACGCATGGCCTCCTGTATGCGTATTATGTGATAGGTATCCATGTATATGTAGAAGAACTGTCTTGTGTGG